GGAATCCAAACTACAGTTCAGAGAAAAACACTGCCATGATTTAGCTGAAGTCTTCCAAAGGAGCAATGTTTGGAAAGAGCTTTCTTCCCACAGACTTTGAGGGGAAAGAGGTAGGAATGGAGCCAAATTTCAAAGAAGCTTCTTTATTCTATGTAACCAATGTGCCCCACACAATCTCTCCTCCTGACCTTCCACCACAGAGAGCACCAGTGCACCACCTTCCATTCACCTTCTTCAAAATGCCCTGAGCTTGGGCTACTCTCAGTTTGCCCTTGAATCACTTGACAAGCCCCAGCTTAAGCCAGGAGTTTGACACAAGCCTATTTCTTTTTACCCCTTTTTAAAAAAATAACCAATCCTGTCTCACATAACAGCACTTTACATAGACAAGATCCTTTGAGGCTGCAACTATATGAGAACATAGAAGCATAAGACCACTCCTAAATTTAAAGGGAAAAGAAGAACTACTTTCCTTGGTAGGAACCCAAAACTTTGGCCAGAGTTTTGCTAACAAATGGTTAATCATTAAATGGTGAAATCTCTCAAGACTGTAAGTGATCTGTGCACCAGCGATTCCATGTGACACAATGCAAACATTCCCTCTTCTGAGCATCTTTTAAGCATTCCACTGGCTCCTTTGTACAGCAGTTTAGTATCTAGTTCATCTCTTAATTTCTTACTTCAAGATATTCTCAGAATAAATCTGCAACCTCCAAATATCTAAGAATAAAACACACTTCATTTTTATACAGTATTGTTTTAGAATACTACACACAAAGCTTAAATAGGAAAAAAAAAAACAACTAAATTTCCAAAGTGCTCTGTTTTTCTTTTTTGAGGTTGAGGTGGGTTGTTTGTTTTCTTTTAAGTAACTTTTCTAAGAGAGGAAGAAGCAAGAATGAGTTAGGTTTTTATGAAAAGAGGAAGCTCAGACTTGGTGACAGAGAAAAGAGGGGAAAGGGAAATTGTGCTTACAGTAAAAAGTTTAAAATTTCACAATAAAATGATCATGTCAGTGCCATAATAAAGTGATTATCTATCTGCATTGTTTCTTTGTATTTTTTCTTCAAAAAGTTTTTACAGAATAGTATAAACTGATTCATTAATAGAACAGTTGAAGAGATTATTCAATTTCATAGATATTTCATCCATGTAGAAAAGTATTATTATACTTACTGCTAAAATATCTGCCTCCACAGGTAAAAGATTCAGGAAGGCAAACAACTGCACAGTCACAATAGTGTATATCTGAGTGGCAGACAACATCAGCATTCCTATTGATAACAGCATATTTTATTCAATATCTGCAAGAAAAGAATCAGAGTCAAGGCACATAGCAAATACTTTCCTGTGTCATTTTACAGGACTCTTGTCACTTAAAACTTTTGATATGCAAAATGTCATTCAATGTATACCTTGAGAAACAAGTAATCTTAAAGTTATAGGGTTATTTTAGAAGTTACATGATTATTTTAGAAGTTCTTTTGCTAGAAGCATGTCCCTCCGTGGGAGTGACAGCATGCATAAACAACAAAAACTCTAAGAGCAAGACTTGATAAGGCTTTAGGCACCACAAAGCAATGCAAGGGGTACAAAGGGATGATCGTTCACATTACATTAATCATCTTTAGACACTTCATTTTAAACTTCCCTTCTTCTAGCACAATTCCAAATCAGCAAAATTCCTGATGTACCTTGAATAATTCCACTAAAAGTATGGATTCCAAAAATACACTTGCAAAAGCAATGCGATACCAACTTGAAGGAACTTGAGATTTCTCTCAGGCTTAGCTACACCATGACTGTGGGCAAGCAACCTCTTAAGAATACAGAAAGCACAAAGTATCTTATTCCCTTTATAAAAGCTCACACCTAAACATGATCAAGTCGGAAAACCCCACATTCAGAATTTAAATAAACACGCTCCAGTACACCTCATACCCATGAGTACAAAACAAGCACCGATGAAGTGCTACATCCAGCAGGAAATGTAACCACTTGCACTCCTGAATGTAAGAGAATTGTAGGGTCCACAGATATCTAAATGTCTCTAGAGATTCTTCCAGTCTCAAAATAAGAAATTACGGGAAATTACATAGAATAGTTGTAACACAAAACAATGGGTCCATTTCGGGGTCCAACATAGCTATAAGAATTAAAATAATTAACAGACAAGTTCCAAAAGTGCACAGTATGCACTTAATGTAATTATCTGAACATCTGGATCTCCACTAACTTCTTTTACTGGAGTAATTAATAAAGTACTTCAGAAAAAACTCTTATTAAGTCATACAAAATGTTAGTTGAAACAATTTTTTGTCAAAAACCTCCAAACTGTGGCTTCTTATACAAATGCTTTCATGTGAATTTATTTTCATTGGACTGTAGCTATTTCTTCTGAAAACTGTTGACTTAACTGAGAAATCACAGCCAACACTACTACTACTCCTTTCTTTTTCAGAATCAAGAAAAACCTAAGAATTCCTGTCCTTCTGACCTACCCTTCATGGGTTTTTCAACCAAAAAGCATTGTCCCATGATGTGATTAATTAAAGCAAATACCAGAGAGATAAACTTGACTTAAGCTAACATGAAGATAATTAGAATTTATTATTAGTATTTGGAAGAAACAGCTGATACTGATACTTTCAACTGTAGTATATAAAGTTTTGTCATTCTGCTCTCCAAAACCGATATGACATTAACAACTCTTAATGCTGTTAATTAACAACATGGTTCCAACTTGGCCAGAATCAGATATATAATGCTTTGTGAAATTTTCAACTGGTTCACAGAAATGAAGTTACACTCACAGGAAAGAAATAGTAGTGAGTTACAAAACTAATGAACTTTTATTACTAAATTAAGATTTATCACATTCTCTCATCAGCCTGCCCTAAAAAAGAGGACATCAGTGAAACTGGGAGGATAAAAAACCATTGTTTCAAAAATACAGCCGTTTTTACTATGACAGAAACAACAATACACTTGAAGCTACCAGAGCACTTAAACCAACACAGTAAGTCCAGCACAGATATTAAGCAAGGTTAGAAAACACAAGAATTATAGTGATCCTTGCACACAACATGCATATACAGTGCACCCTTCCCCATCAAAGTTACATGCACACAAATTCTTCTGTGCTCAGGCTCTGACGTCTCAGATGCAAGCCAAAAAGCCTTACAATTCCTGAAATTCCATGGCTCTTTGGAAAGCATGCCCCTCTCAGCTGAGGGAGGCAGCTCAGAGCACACAGAAATGCAGGTGTGTGGAAAAGGGCTCTACTGTAAACTAAACAAAACAAGTTCAACCTGACTCTGCAATAACCTTCCATGCTTCACACTTGATTTACCAGTGTGTATAGACAAAGTTGTCCTTAAATAACTTTGAGTACTTCTTTGCACTCTCCATGCTAGAACACACAAACCAAACTGGGCTTGAAGTGCTGCATCCCTCTGTCATGGGTCTGAAATGAGGAGGGGAAAACGTGGGGTGTGCTGGACCAGCACAGCTATGAGCAGCAAAACACCCTGGAGTAAATACACTAAGCACATATAAGATAAAGGTCACAAACACATTGCACAACTCAGAGACACAGACAAGAACTTTCACAGCTTTTGGCAAATATTCACAGGTCAGGCTTCACAAACTACACCTAAATATGAAATTTTTAGATATTTGTATCTCAATCAACTCAAAATCTGTTTCAGAGCATATACAACACAAAGAATTCTATATTCACATGGTTATGTTTACATTTTAACTCTCTCAATAAAACAGCTTTTCCCTCCCACTTCTAAAAAAAATAACTTGTACCTTTGTATGAAACAAACTTAAATTCTATTCTTTTAAAGCCAAATGTGACTGTAAATCTTACAGCAATCACAAAAACAAACCTATGAACATAAGGAAACTTTGTGACAAATTCCAAATACTTTGGTAGACTGGGCTGCACCTTCCAAAATTTCATAAGCAGAGGATTAACAAAAACTAGACAGCTAATAACAGTAATTCTCATTCACGTCTTCTAATCTCCCCATATCTGAATTCTTGCATTTTGATGCCATCGTATCATTACTGACACAAATGTCCATCTCACACCTATCACAAAACTGGACACTGACGCACGCAAAGTAAGATCAGCATTCACACCTGTTAAGATGCAGGAACAACTCCTCTCAATTAATTTTAACGTTTCTACTAAAAACTTGGCTTTCAGCTAGTCAGACTCGACGCTACTCATCATCCCGCAAGCCCAACCAGCACCTCCAGCTCGCCTCAAGAACCACGCACCCGGCAGAGACGGAACGCGCGACCAGGGGTCGAGCTTCCACCGGGCCAAGCGCGACGCTCGGGGAGCGCTCCAGAGGCCTCCGCTCCGCGTTGCTCATCTCCCTCCCGCGGTTCCCGGCAGTCCCGGGACCGCGGCCGCTCCAGCCGGGCTCAGCCCCGGCAGGGCCTAAGCCGCCTACGGAACCGGGCACCGCCCCGCCACTCCAAAGGTGGAGGCGAATAAGCACTGCGCAATGGAGCAGCAGGCCCGAAAGTGCTCGGCCGCCGCACGGTCGGAGCGCCCAGGGAGCCTAGCGGTCGTGCCCCAATGCTCACCTGCGGCCCGGGGGACCCGCCCCGCGCTCACCTGCGGCCCGCGGTCCCCGGGCGGACTAGGCCGACGCCATGGCGCGTTCCGTGCGATCGGCGCCCGCGCCGGAAGTCCCGCCTGCCGCCGCTCCGTCGCGGGCGGTGGCACGAGACAGCCCATTGGCCGCACCGGCTGTCACTCAGTTGCGGCGGGGCGGGCCCGGCCCCGCCGGGGGCGTGGCTACGCAGTGGCTCCCGCCCCGCCGCCAGGGGGCGCGCAGCGCCTCCGGGGCCAAAGCGGCGCCTCCGGGAGCGCCTCGCACATCTGGGGCACATCTGGGGCACGGCTGGGGCACATCTGGGGGATAGGCTGGGGCACGGGCTGGGGCACATCTGGGGTACAGCTGGGGCACGGGCTGGGGCACATATGGGGCATGGCTGGGGCACAGCTGTCCCAGGGTGTCCCAGCGTGTCCCGGTTGTCCCAGGGTGTCCGAGGCTGTCCCTGCGGGTCCCAGGCTGTCCCAGCGGGTCCCAGGGTGTCCCAGGCTGTCCCCGCGGCCCCGGCGTTGCGCAGGCGCCTGCGGGGCGCCGCCCCTTCCCGGTTGTTGGTGGCGGAGCCGCGGCGATGCTGCTGGTGCTGTCGGTGGAGCACCGAGCTCACCTGGGCTGTTTGCCGCGGGCCGGCGACGCAGGTCTGGGCCGCGGCGGGTCCGCGGGCGGGGGGAACCGAGCCAGGCCGGGGCTGCAGCGGGGTCTGTTCTCTCTCTGTCCTTACAGCCGTCGGCGAGCTGGGGCGCCTGGCGCTGGAGCAGCTGCGGCGGGGAGCGGCGCCGCGGGCCTGCGAGTCCGCCGCCAGTGAGAGCCGGGCGCGGGGAGCGGGGGCACCGGGACGGGGAGCGGGGTGACCGGCCGGGGAGCGGGCCGGGGACAGCGGGGGAGCGGGGAAAGCAGGCCCGGGCGGGGCGGAGCGGGCCGGGGGGCGGAGGGACCGGCCGGGCAGCGGGGGGACTGGGACGGGGAGCGCGGACGGAGCGAGCGGGGTGACCGGCCGGGCCATGGGGAGCGGGGTGACCGGCCGGGTCATGGGGAGCGGGGTGACCGGCCGGGTCATGGGGAGCGGGGGAAGCAGGCCGGGCCATGGGGAGCGGGGGAAGCAGGCCGGGCCATGGGGAGCGGGGTGACCGGCCGGGCCATGGGGAGCCGGGGGGACCGGCCGGGCCGTGAGGAGCCGGGGGAGCGGGCCGGGGAGCGGGCCGGGGAGCGGGGGGACCAGCCGGGCCATGGGGAGCGGGGGAAGCAGGCCGGGCCATGGGGAGCGGGGTGACCGGCCGGGCCATGGGGAGCGGGGTGACCGGCCGGGCCGTGGTGATGCCGCGGCAGGAAGGCGGGAACACGGTGGGCTCTGCGCCGGCCACGAAGCACTGCCAAGGCCCCGGGGCACGGCGGAGAGGGGCCCAGGGAAAGGGCTGGCGGCATGGAGCTCCAGCACCGCGGCCGTCGGTGCTTCGTGCCTGGGGTGGGGAGGGCTGCGGACGTCCCTTTTCCGACACAAGCCGTTCTCTGTACCATGCCATAAGAAATTGGTTTGTGTTTTTCTTAGTTTTATGCGCTAATATGCTGTACATTATTATTTGAAGGGCGTGACACCCTCTTCTTTTTCTAAGCATATTTTGCACATTAAGCATTTGATAACTTTGCAGCTTTGAGTCTCGCTGCTGCGACAGTTAGCAAGTAAAAAACACTTTGTGCTTTCTTTAAAGGAAAGCTGAACATTAGCGTTGACATCATTCAGCACGGGGTAGAAGGACTAGTGTATCTTCTTACTGAGAGTTCCAAGCTTATGGCAAGTATACTTTTTCATGAGGAATTTGGGGATACTCTAGAAATGTCTTCTGGACACGTAGGCCTCTAAAAATGCTGGTGAATGGGGAAAAGATAGCTCAAAATTTAATGACGTGTATTATTTTAATTTCAGAAAAAGGTGTCTCATGCTGTTGTCTTATTGAAACATTGTGTCTACGTGTATGACTCTGGAATTTGTAAACAGTGTCTGATGCTAAAACTTCACAACGCTTTAATAGTGTAATTTATTGCATATAGAGAAGCTTACTTCAGGATAAACTCTAAATAATAAAACTCAAATGAAGAGTTTGTTGTTCAGCTACTGCACAGGATGTGGGCTAGACTAGCCCCCTGTTCAGCATTCCTTGTCTTTGTCCAGTGTGGTGGGTTTGAGAGCTTTTTCAGCTCTTGACATCAAAAGTTTGAGTGGGTATAAGTAGATACTAAATGATTAGTAGTTGGACAATTACTGTTTCCATCAGAAAGACTAGTAACTATTGATATAGTAGAATATTTGAGCAATAACTACATGGAGAAGGAGTGCAGAGACAAGGAATGCCCGATGAAACTCAGGCAAGTGTTGTTCCCAAGAGTAGGTGAGGAGGGGATGGAAATGGTGCAGAGCCTTTCCTTGAAACAGGGCTCTTGAGTGACAGGGTACAGTGTACTGTGCTAGGATGTGGTTGGTTGCAGACTGTTATTGCGGGGTGGTGCATCGGGGAGCTACAATGGTGTTTTCTGCGGAGTCGCTAACAGCTTCCCCAGTGCTGGGCCAGGCTGCTGCAGTAAGCACAAAGGCCTGTGAAGCTTCTCCTGCCCTTGGGACAGGAGCCTGAGCATTGTGCTGTGTGCTGCTCACGTGCAGATCACTGCTGGGTATTTGCAGTCTGGTTATCAGTGGCACAGGAGCACCCTGACAAGTGTCGGGCCTTGTGACACAACTGAGGTGCTCCCTCACGCTGTTTTGGTCTTTGATGTGAAGGCTTACATGTGATGGGGATGAATGTTCTTTAAAAAAATTGCTTCTGAATCTCATACAAATCTGCAGTAATGCATCAATATCTGCAGATCCTTTAAAACCTGGATATTTGTTTTGTCAGAGGTGTAGAATTGTACTTGGACATTCCTGCAGGAAAATAAATAAATAACTGCACCATAGCATAAGTGATGTTTAGTTACAGTTTTATTTGGTTGTCAGGAAATAATGATGATTACCTGGCCTAAATTGCTATTTCTAGATTTCTGAGGCTGACTTCCAAGATTCCATTAATGTTTTGGGATTCTCAGATGAATTGAACAAATCCTTGCTCCAGTTGTACCTTGACAACAGGAAAGAGATCAGGAGCATTCTCGGAGAGCTGGCACCAAGGCTTCCCAGCTACCACAGTCTGGAGTGGAGACTGGATGTACAGGTGACTTCCCTGATGTTTTTAGTATTCCATCCTTTCCTTCACAATTTTTTTGCATAATTAAAACCTGCTAAACAATATAAAAACAATTGAGGCAGCAGTACTTCATGTATTTAAAAGTGACATGACTTTGTTAGTGTCCCACAGCCAGCCAGCTGTGAAATGAACAGGATATGCAATGATGCAAAGTACTTGTTTCCTGATGAAAGTTGAATTCATGGTTCTATTGATGTTTTTAAAATATTAACATATACTAAACATATTTGGTCTTGATTATTACCTTATTTTCAGAAATATTATGAAAGCATTGATTAAAGCAGGTTAGTATTAATTATAAAACACAATAGTAGCTTGTGTGTGTCTTTAATGTGGATGCAAAGGGTTTCTGAACATTAGTCTGAACAGGTTCTACAAAGCTCTTGAGAACTGTTAAGAACAAACTTTGATAACCAATGGTCATTTTCGTGTTCCTGTTCCACTGGACCCCTCCTGCAGCTTGCAAGCAGAAGTTTGAGACAACAGATCAAGCCTGCTGTGACTATGAAGCTACATCTTAATGAAAATGAAGATCGAACTGCCCAGGTGTTGCAAACTGACCCTGCGACCCTTCTTCACCTTATCCAGCAGCTGGAGCAGGCCTTGGGGGAGATGAAGATGAACCACTGCAGAAGAATAGTGCGCAACATGAAATAACCTTGGTTCTCCTCTGCTGCCTTGCTAAGCAGTTTGTAAAACAACTCAAAACACTGCTCACAAATACATTTTGAGGAAAAATAAACATCTGGATCAGATGAACTGTTTTCCTGTGCCAGGACCTTGAGCCAGTATATACTGGCCAGATATCCTTGGCTACCAGCTTCGCACATCTATGTGTGGTGACCTTTTTCACACAACCATCTTCATATATAGTACATGGTAATTAAATGTGATCAAATATTATGACTTGGGATTTTTGACTGGTATTTTTTATGTAATTGATCTCTGTTTTCAGGCGAAACACAAGATTAGCCAATGCATTTTGAGGAGAGTGGTTTCCCTCATTCCATCTCTCCTCACTACAGCCAAAGTCTGGAACTCAGGACAGCAAAGCAGAAGTTTTAGATAGAGATCTTTGAAACTTTTTGTGTCATCTCACTATTGCCCGATGAATCTAAACTTATTTGCCTTTTTCTCAGGTAAACATTTTAAAAAATCCAGCTGCTCTAGAGCTGATTGGCATCACAGTAAGTGCTGGCAGTTTACACATGGGTCATATCCTGAAGCATGTGCTAACTGAGAAGGGGGAGGGTTTTCCTTGGGGATTCTGAGTAAAATGGTCAGTTGAAAGCAGATGTTGAGAATGCAGAATGTCACTGGAGAGCCTGCATGTTTTTCTATGCAGTGTGTTGCAATATTGAAGAAGGAAAAGCTGCAACACTGAATGATTTTGTTTCCTTTTACAAAAAATTACCTCAGCTAAGGATGGTCAAAGGTAAACTTTGAAGCTGGGTGAAATTGAGAGAAGCTCAAACTCTGGCAGTGATCCACAAAGAGACTCAAGGAGAGAGAGGAGGAGAAAGATCCTTTATGTCAAGCATCTTACTTTTAAATTGCACCTTTCAGTTTGTTCTGGGGGAAGTACTGAGCCTGGAAAAGCAGCTGCTCGGCAGCAGGATTTGGGCTTAATTATTGGAAAAGCAGATTTGCCTTTAGGTGAGGTTGGAACTGCCCTGCAAGTTCTTGCTTCTCTGTCTTCACAGCATCCTGGGCGGCTGCTGAGGGCCAGCATTTCCATCCCGCTGGTGAGTGTGACTGCAGGGCAAGCAGCACGGGTGCTGTGCCTCTGTACAGCAGGGGAGGCCGGGAGTGAAAAGGCACATGTGTCAGTAACCCAGAGATACTGGTAAAATAGGAATTCACCATGGGATACTGACTCGGATTTTCTTCTAAACTCCCAAATTAAAGCCATATAAAGCTACATTTAATGCATCTTCTCTAATTAATTTGCACTTGCTTTATAGAAACCCTTGAACATGACAAGACTACAAAGCATTTTTCAGAAGCTACTAAAAAAAGTTACAGTGCTACTTTTAACCCATTTTATGGGTTAAAAGTATTATATTATGGGTTATTTTTTGTAACAGGGTTTTCTAAATTTAGTACTGTTCCATTGTGTTCTTTGTTCTCCATTGCCATTTAGTTCAGAGGAACACAAGTTTTCTGTTCCTGTAGGGCTGCTCACAGATGGATGTGGAGCACCAGCTGTAGTTACTGCCTGCTTGGAGTCTCCTTGCACAGAGCAAACCCAAAGCAGAGGCAGAACCATGCCAGGCTGTGCTGTGTGCTGGTCACTTGTTTACTGAGAAAGAACAAGGCTTGCCCAGGGACCCCTGAATGTTGTACTTTATAACAGACATCACAGGTGTTGCTTCACCTAGGTAGGTTTTCTCAGAAAAATGTTAATCTATGAAGAGCTTTGATGCAGAGCAGTGATAGATCTAGCTTTAAAACTACATGTGCCATTTCTTTAACTCATTAGATGCTTATCATGTAGGGGTACTTTTAAAAGTGCACTTACTTCTAAGCTGTTTGCTTGGGTTTTCATTGAAGAAGAGATTGAACTTGCTGCTAGAAAATCCACAATCGATAGGGTATAGTCATAGTACTGGGCTTTATAAATCCTTCAGATGAACACAAAATCTCTGTACTATTCAAAAACATTTGAACACAATGTGAAATTGAGATAAAATAATGTTATTGACTTATTTTTTTACAATGTAAAATCTTGCAATGAGAACAAAGAAATAATGATAAGGAGCTTTCTATGTCACACTTGTGATTTGCTTCCATTATCACTTAATCCAACCCCATTGTGATGGACATGTCCTTGTCTTCCACAGACTTGAGCATATTGAGTCACTTGCCCTGAAAGCTGGTGGTCATATTTTTTTGTCCAAAGAAGGTAGTATTTCTAAACAAAGACTAATGACAACAATACTATGAAAATTTATTCTTACAGTTTTAATCACTTTCAAATTATTGGAGGAAAATCCTTTAGCCTATACCACATTTTCCACTAGAGAAGCCAAATGCAACTTTAGAGAAGTTCATGCTTATTTTAAAGAAATAAGGAATTAAGTTCAGAAAAACATTACTTAAGACTTTTCTAGTGTAGATTCTGATTACTGAGGAGGGTGTATTCTTATCAATCAGCATAGCCTGGTTTCTGTCCAAAACACAGAAATAAAATAACAAATGCATTGCTAAAATACAGTTGTATTCATTTAGTCAGTGTGTGATATCTCTGTGTGTAGTCATAAAAACACTGGATGCTTCCCTCTGTAAAAACCAACACTTAAGTTGGAACGTGAACAATATTATTCTTTATATACACAGCTTCTGAATTTAAACAATTTTTGGTCACATCGCTATTCAAAAGTTATTCCAAATGATCCATAAAATGAGACAAGATTAAAACAACAATTGTATTTAATAATTATAGAAAACCTCAGGTATGCACTTTGATGACAGCTCTCATTTCTAGTATAGGCTAAATCAAAGACAAGTGACTGAATGGGCAGAGATCCACAAAGCATCATGCCTGCATTTGAAACTACCCCTACGGACAGTGAGCTGGAAGGACGTAACATACAGCTCTGCACAGGACTCCTACTTGCCAGCTAAAGGCCAAACCTTATCCAAATCACAGCGAAATGGTTGCTGTCCATGTCACTACGAATGCTTAATTTCTCCCCATAGCTATAGCATCACTAAATCATGCAATTAAACTTGTACGTGAACTAATGTAAGCATCATTTTGCTTTCAGAAATTAGTATCGCCCATTAACTTTCTGAACAACGGTTTTGGAGCAAAGCTCCTTAGCTTGGCAGAGACAGAGCGCTCCGAAGGTTCCCCGGGCGCCACGAGCTGGGGCTGGACGGGAGCGGCCGCTCCAGCGGGGTCGCAGCGGCGAAGAGCCCGGCCGATGCCCCGGCTGCGAGCGGCACAGCGAGCGCGACGCGAGAGGGGGCGCGGGCGGGGCGGGCTCCGCTGGCCTCCAGGGCCGTCCCGTGCCCAAAGTTTCCGCGGCAGTTGCATAACTGCGGGTGGGGCGGCGCGGGGGCCGGGCTGGAGCCGCCGGCACTGCCCCGTCCCGGCGCTGCCCCGTCCCGGCACTGCCCCGTCCCGCCGCTGCCCGCCGGGGGGAGGGCGCCGCGCTGCCCGGGGCCGCCCCGCCCGCCCGGGACAGCGGCGCGGCTGGCGGGGGCGCAGAGGCTCCGTCCGCCCGCTCTGCTCCCGGCGAGCCCGCCCGCTCCGGAGGGCACGTCCTCGGCGGCGGCCCGGCAGCGGGGCCGGCCCCGGCCACCGCCCGTCCCGGGACGGCTGCGCCCGCCGCCGGGCCAGAGGCGCGGACAATGAACCCCGCGGCCGCGGCCCCGCCGCCGGGGCAGCAGGTAATCCACGTCACGCAGGACCTGGACACGGAGCTGGAGGCGCTTTTCAACGCGGTGATGAACCCCAGGCCCAGCTCCTGGCGCAAGAAGATCCTGCCCGAGTCCTTCTTCAGGGAGCCCGACTCGGGCTCGCACTCGCGGCAGTCGAGCACGGACTCGGGCGGGCCCCCGCCGCGCCTGGCGCCCGTGCACGTCCGCTCGCACTCCTCGCCCGCCTCGCTGCCCGGCGCGGGCGCGGCGCCGCAGCACGGGCACCTCCGGCAGCGCTCCTGCGATGTCACGGACGAGCGGCCGCTGCCGCCGGGCTGGGAGATGGCGCTCACGCAGACCGGGCAGCGCTACTTCCTCAAGTGAGTGCGGCGGGGGAAGCGGCCGGGGGCATCGCGGGGCGCTCGCCGGGAGCGGGCTGCGCCGTAAGGCGGCGGGGTGGCCTCCGGGTCCGGGGTGTGTGCGGCATTCCGGGGGGGAAATCCCTTCCCGGTGGGGGGAGAGAGGCGAGTGAGAAGTCCTGCCGTGTTTGTTGATAACAAATTTCTTTCCTGCTTGGCCACACGTCCAAGATTCTGAAACTTAATTTTTTTGAGAAAAAGTTGAAAGCCAGTTATTTCAGGGAGTTTCTGGGACGTGGGAGCAGAGCTCTGCATGCCCGTGACCTGCCGAAGGTGGAAGGGGCTGTGGATGGGTGGGAGTTGCCCGGCCCGGCTCCGGCCGCGGTGGGTCTGAAGCATCCCCGTCCGCTGGGACGCGCAGGAGGCCGCCTTGATCTAGCGACAGGCTTTGGGAAGTGTGGTAACACAACTGCCGATATCTCTTCTGGCCAGTCATTTTCGCCAGAGCGTTTTATTTATGACAATTGACACTTGATTCAAAGCCGTTTAATAGGCCTGAAAATAAGCAATAGCTGTAGTAAGTGGTAAGGCAGCAGTGCCTTATTTTGGTAGATTCTGTAAGTCAGCTACAGATTCATTGCAAACTAAGTCGTACTGCATTAACTTGGTAAATAAGATAAAATGTTTGCTAATGAAATAAAACATTTACTGATGAAGCATCTACCTCTGGATATTGAGGGAGTTAAACTGCCAGGACTCCAGGATGTGATTTACTTGCTTACTACAGCCTTCTTGTTCAGAAGAGTAAAATCTTGAGTTCACATATGTTCACCCATGTGTGGGTATTCAGCCATCATAAATGTCATAGAAACAGTGTGTGAGGGGAAAAAGAGACAAAACTGTTTAGAAAAGTGAAAAAAAAATTACTTGATTGTACAATGATTTCTTTGCCTTGTGGGTTTGGAATCTCTAACGGATTACTCAAGAGCCCAGTCTCTGAATAACTCTGCAGAGTTTAGATTTTTTGCCTTTTGTCACACTCTGAGCTAACAGCAAAGCATGTAAATACTTTTCTGTATGTCACTGTATGTTGTTTATGATACTGTGTGCATATGTCCCAGGGTCCAAACTTAGAAGTTTGTTATTAATCTGGTTTATCACTTAAATGAGAAGATC